CCAGGAAGGCCGGTGGCCTCACCGCACTGTCCCTCCGTGTTGTTGGCGAACTTGCTGAAGGGCACCTCCACCGAGAAGATGAGGCCAGAGAACATCACGCGGACGCCGAGCGCCGGGATGGCCACATACATCTTGATGCCCACGCGGGAGACCTCGATGCCGTCCTTCCGGAAGCCGGGGCTGACCACCTCGCCGTTGAAGATGATCTGGACGGGCGCACAGGGACACGGGAGGGCAGGCGGTCAGCCCCACGTGGGCCATGCCTCGGCCCAGACTATGCCATGCCCCCAAGGGCCAGGACCACGCCATGCCCCCCACGGGCCCGGCCACGCCACACCCCCACGGGCCCACGGGGGCGCCCACCTGGTTGGTCATCACCCCGCCCACAGGCCTGCGGGTGAGCACCACGCTGGCCCGCCCGTACTCCACGATGAGGGACTGTGGGCAGGACAGCCCATCCTCGGCGTCGCAGAAGTAGTTGTCAATGAGCACGCGGAAGTGGCCGTGCACGGGCAGGATCTGCTGCACCAGCACATACGTGCAGTTGTCCAGGAACGTGTAGTAGATGCCGTCGAACGTGATGTAGTGTGGGTCACCCCAGCCACTGCACACACCTGCGGGTGGGCGGGTGGCTTAGTGGGCAGGGTGGGCACGGAGGATGCAGGCGATGCGGCGGCGTCCCCGCCCCTGCCGTCCCACCCTGGGGAGCCCAATGCCCTCTGCATCGCTGGACTCCATCCATGGCCCTCTACCAGGCAGTGGCCTGGATGCCCAGCAGGGCCCGGCGGACTCCACTCGGCTCCCCCAAGGCAGAGGTTCGGCCACACCCATCCTGCCTCCATGCCAGGAAGTCCTCCTGGTGCCCAGCCCAATTCCATCCTGCTTCATGGAGCAATTCTCTGTCCCCGCCCCTGTTCCCCATGGGGGAAGGGGTCTGCCCTGCCCCTGCTGCCTCTCCGACGCCCAGGCTTACACTGGCACTCGTAGTGATAGCAGCAGCCATCCTGGTCAGCCACCTTTAAGGCCGGGTAGCCATTGGCGCAGGTGGGCACCTCCACCCTCGGGCAGGTGCGCGGGTGCAGGGAGATGACGTTATTGCCCTCGCAGGTGGCCTGGGAGCAGCTGGGCATGGCCCAGGTCTCGCCTTTCTGCAGAGACACAGAGGCTGCTGACCTCCAGGGGCGAGGGGGCAGTACCCCCGGAATCCCACCTCCTTCCCACCCAGCCCTACCTGCCTGTGCTCCACATGGAGTACCCGGCCGGAAGGGGCCTCTGGCGTGGAAGCTGCTCCTACCTGTCACCCCCCAGCTGTCCGGCCAGGGCCACGGTGCCGTCCACTGTTCCGGGCCCTGGTCGCCTCGGACAGTGTTTCAGCCTAGCCCCAAATGCCCAATGCCTGGAGAGCAGGCACGTCAGGAGGGCCCAAGGCACCCCGCCTTGGCAGGGCCGTCTCTGGGGGTCGGCCAGCCTACACGGTGGGGCCCCAGC